ATGACAGGGCTTAGCCTTTCTGTCATGAGTGAAAATACTTCCACCTTTTAACTTTGTTTCTGGTGGTGCTTTACGTTTATTTGGGGGCCACACAGAAATTTTTGATACCGGCAAGTTTCCTGGGACCCATGTAAGTGCTGGATCGACAAAGTACTCGACATACTTAGTTTCCTGAGCAATGAAAAATAAAGCTTACGGCACACTCACACCCAAGTCAAACATACACAGCCCAATTCCTGGAACCACCTCAGCGCTTCAGACTTTATTTACTAGACATCTTTCAGTGGGCACTAAGAGGGCTGCAAAGATAGAAAAGGATTAGGGATAAGAAAGTGCTGAGGGGACAACAGCAGGACAAGTATAAAACACACATGATGCCTGGAAATAACTCAATAAGCTTGAAATCATTACTGAGTGGAAATAATGTTGAAATGGAAACAACACTAAAACAAAAATCAAAGGGAAGGTAAAGATACATCTGCATTAAGGAAATCCTTCTTGGGTGGTGCCTGGGGCTCAAAGGAGTAGGGCGCGGGCCCCATATGCTGGAAGTGGCAGGTTCAAACCCAGCCCTGGCAAAAAAAAAAAAAGAAGAAGAAAAGAAAATCCTTCTTAAGTCGGGTGTGGTGGCTCACACCTGGAATCCTAGTACTCTGGGAGGCTGAAGCAGGAGGACCGCTTGAGCTCAGGAATTCAAGACCAGCCTGAGCAAGAGCAAGAACCCATCTCTAGCAAAAAGAGAAAACAGGCAGATATGTCACCCACCTGTAGTTCCAGCTACTCAGGAGGCTGAGGTAGGAGGACTACTTTCCTATTCTTCCTCAAGCTCAGGAGTTTGAGGTTGCTGTAGCTAGGCTGATGCCAGGGCTCACAGGCTTAGGCAACAGAAAGAGATTCTTTCTCCAAAACAAAACAAAACAAAACAAAATACACACATACATACATACATACACACACCCCTTGAACTCATAAAGCTTCACGTTTTAAAATATAAAATTATTCTGTGCTTAACAAAGAGTTCTATAAAGTAACTTTAAATAGCATTTCCCAGCAGGAAATGGCAGATTTGGGATCGAAGCTTGATGCAAATCCCCAGCCAAGCCTTTGTGAGCCACAAAGTACCTGAGACTCAATTCTATAATACTGCCTACATGTGGAGATAATGCCGCCCCAGTGCCCCACTTCCTTCACTGCACGCGCTTCCTGCCCAATGCTGACATCCAGCTGATGACTAATGACCGCAGAATTTGGCTGGGCTCCCCAAATAAGCTTTTACTCCACCTCAAAGCTGGTGGGCCACAGCAGGTGGGAAAGTGCTCAAACTAGAAAATGCTAAATAATTAGAAGTCATCTGATTACCTAAGAAGAGTGGATAGGTTTTTAGAAAGGCATCTGTCACAAGATAGAATTGTGATTACTAGACAAGTTACTTAGACTCCAGAAGAGGTTTGCAGATTTTAGAGGGAACTGCATAATGGAAATTACGGTTTCTTAAGCATGTGGTAAAGATGACAACAGGGAGGAGAGCTGTAAGTTACATAAACGGGGTGTTTTGGTATGCTCAGAGCCCGCTTTCACAATCCCAACCTGCTGAGCTCCAACTTCTCACATGGCTTTTGGCCTACAGGTAAAAAGACTACCCACTTATCTTAATACTCCTGCATTAACACAATAAAAGAAAAGGACCCAAACTCTAACCAAATTAAAATGTATGCTATTTACTCATGTGCTCAGTAAAATGATTATAATACAGTGAACCTATGGAATTCTCAAGGCCACAGACGAGGTTATCCTCAAAGCCTGGGGAGTGTGCAAGGGCCAAAATTTAAGACTAAACATAGTTCCACGTCCAGATTAGACATGTTACAAATAATACATACATACCTGTACAGCACCTATTGTTTACCAAAGAACAAGCTGGATACCTGGACATTTCCAGCTAACTCTCGTTAATAAAAGGTAGGTGAAGAAATTAATAGGGACTGTTCTGCTTCCTGACCAATTCATACTGCAACCTACTTCTATACGAGATGAAGACTAAAAATAATCTTGTGCAGCCTTTCTTCCACTCCATCATCTAGTTTTTATTAAACAACATATGTAAAGTGTTCACACCAGATTTTTTTTTTAAAAAAAAACAGACACTCGTTAAACTGCATAGCCCTCTCAGTTGTCATTTTTTTTTTGACTTTTCAGAATTCTTAAATTGGAAAATGTGGGCATTAAGCCAAAAATATCCATGAGACAACAGCAGCTTTCTCGAACTTCCAGATGGAACTGGGGGGTGGGTTGTCCTGGCGCCATGTGTCTCTTTATGCCGCCCCAGTGCCCCACTTCCTTCACTGCACGTGCTTCCTGCCCAAAGCTGACATCTAGCTGATGACTAATGACCGCAGAATTTGGCTGGGCTCCCCAAACTGTACCCTGACATGCTAAGGTCAACATTTACTCATCCAATTATCACATTTTGAGGGAGGACTCATTATAGCCAAGATATGGGGTAATTAAAAAAGGAAAACGACACAGTTGCTGGTCTCTAGAAGCTCATAATTTGGTTTGAACAGTAAGAGATGTTCACAAGAAACCAATTAAAGCCCTCTCCAAAACAGCCAGTGGGAATCTTAGCATTGCTGTGGGACATGAGGAGTTATGTGTGAGCACTGCTGTCCATTCCACGGACTTGGCCTGAGTATCACATGCCACTATCTCCTCCCAAGCAAGGACACAGTATCAAATGTGGGCTTATTGCCCTTGCCCAAAGGCCTTCCTAGTTCATCAAGGAGAAGAAACAGGTGAAAAGTTGTAAGCTTAATAGCCATTTGCAGAGTGGCTTTACTGCCTAACCACTTAGATATGACTGGGATTGGCAATCTGACGCTGATAAAAGGCTTGGAAAACTTTTGAGAGACAGAGATTGCTATCTCTGTGAGGCCAAGAAGATTGTCATAAATTTGGGTACTGCGTTAGTTTTTTTATCATAGGTACCTGGGCTATACCAGAGATCTTATTTGACAGGCAATCAACCAGAATTTTTTAATCCTGTGACTAAAGAGCTGACTGACTTCCTGCTAGTCTTCATTTCCCCACATTTGATAAATAAACTGATGAACAACATAAACTTCCAACTCTAAAATGTGATTCAGTGGGTTTTTTTTTTCTTTTTGGAGTATTTGTTTCTAAGTACTGCCAACATGTGAAACCAATAACTGGAGTTTAGCCAATATTGTTATATGTTCAGAAATACTCTCAGTATTTACCAAACAAGGGCTGTTTCATATATTTCCCTTTAAATATATGACTATGTATTTTTGGTATTTCTCAAGTACAGTTTTAGTAGCATATTTTTAGGGATAGAACATAAGCCAAATTAAGTTTTTTCACACTGGATTAAATTTTTACACACCAACCAGATCCATTTTCTCTTGATTATTCCCCCTTACTTCTCAGTATCAAGCCAATTCTTTAGCAGCAAAGGGAAACAAAAATTGACAGAGTTATGATTCTATAGAGACAAAAGAATATGGGAATTATCCACTTTGAAAAAATTAAAATTTAGTTTTCCAATTCTGACTGGATTGAGTATGTAATTTGGACTTGGTTTGCTAAACCCTTTTTCTCTTTGAATAGTTAAGTTTTTGAAAACAGGAGACTGAGCAGAGTTTCAGAAGCCACTATTCTAAAACAGTATGTTCATGCTATTTTTTTTTGAGACAGTATGCTGTGGTGTCATCATAGCTCATAGTAACCTCACACTCTTGGGATTGAGCAATCCTCCTGTCTCAGCCTCTTGAGTAGCTGGGATTATCAGTGCTCGCCACCATGCCTGGCTAGTTTTTCTATCTTCAGTAGAGATGTAGCCTTCCTCTTACTCAGGTTGGTCTCAAACTCCTGAGCTCAAGCAGTCCTCCCGCCTCAGCCTCCCGGAGTGCTGGGATTATACATGTGTCCCCATGCCATGCCCAGCCTTTAACTCTTCCTAGGATCTAGCTGAGCAAAGAAAAGAGCTGGGCTGGGCTGACCTCACAGCCACCATAACAGTTTCTGGTATGAAATAATATCATGTTTATGATGGAAATGGAAGGGAGGACGGGACTGAGACTTAGATGAAGGCATGGGAGATGTAAGATGAAGGGTAAAGGAAAACGAGAGAAAACTATGTAGAAGGGTGATCATTCTATAGCAGAGGGAGAAACAAAAAAGTTCCCTGAATGCATGGCCACCGTGTTAGTTAATACAGGAGAACCCTGGCTTTTGTGTGAACCAGCATGCTTCAACAAAGTTTTTTTTTTTTTTTTTTTTTTGTAGAGACAGTCTCACTTGATCACCCTTGGTAGAGTGCCATGGCATCACACAGCTCACAGCAACCTCCAACTCCCAGGCTTAGGCAATTCTCTTGCCTCTGCCTCCTGAGTAGCTGGGACTACCGGCGCCCGCCAAAATACTCGGCTATTTTTTTTTTTTTGGTTGCAGTTTGGCTGGGGCTGGGTTTGAACCCGCCACCCTTGGTATATGGGGCTGGCGCCCTACCCACTGAGCCACAGGCACCGCCCTTCAACAAAGATTTTAAGTTTGCACAGATGATGCCTAGGTGATTCCTTGCCCCATGCCTTCCTACTCACTTTAGCTTACTGGTACCTCAGGGAGCTTCTGTGTTTTTTGGTTTTTTTCCTGTACCTTCTTTGACTGCAACGTTCCTTTAAAGCTCAATGTTCCAACTATAAGCGCCCATCATATTAGCTGCCCTCTTCAGAAATATCCTTCATAAATTTTAGTTTCTAAGGCCTTTTAAAAACATCTCAATAGTTAGTGTATTTTTTTAATTTTAAGTTTTCTTTTTCCCTTTATAAAATTCTCTTTTCTTTTTCTTCTACCCACCACTCAGAGTCATAAAAATCCTCTTTTCTTAAACTGCCTATTTCCTGGCCTTTGCTTTTCCCTCTAAGGACAGTAGTTTCTTATGCTCCCTTTCTAATTTGCTAATTTATGTTTGCAATACTTACCACATTAATCGGGGGTCTTTTGAAGTAAAATGGTAGCTTTTCTGTTACAGTTATGCAGACTAAATCCACATCTAAATGTGTGCAAGCAACCTGTCAAGAAGAAACAATAAGTGAGGCCAAAAGGAAAATGAGTACAAGAAAGATGGGAGATAGGGTGAAACTTGGTATAAAGAGACGTAAATCGGTATAGTTGGTTCTATCAGTGTTTTGATAGTTCTATGTTGACCTGCCTCTGACAAGGTCAACTATTGAGCCACTTCCTTCGGGTTTAACTATAATCCCGTTGACGCAGAGTGAGATGCAGACAGACCTTCACAGAAGACTGAGCCAGGGACCTTCTAACTCATATGGTTTTCTACATATCAACAGGTCATTGAGTGAGGCTCAGTTTCTGGAATGTTATCTCAGATTGTCACAGAAAGAAGAAACTGTTCTAAAATCCAAGGAAAACATAAGCCAAAGGAATGTATGCATGGTCCACTTATTTCGCAAACTATTTACCGACCACCTCTGTGCCATGCATTCATTGTCCCAGGGCTGTGGCTCCTATCAGTCTACTGGTGGCTAAAGAAACATGAACAGCACTACTGATGGCATTTTGTTCAAATACTAATAGTTAAAGCAGAGCTGTTACAAATCAAATAATAATGAATGCTTTTTTTAACTTCTAATTTCCTACCTTCCAATTTCCCTTTGTCCTATCACTTGTTGATTAATACCCCGCATTAACTTCTATAAATGTGAAACTGCTTATAAAACAGAGAAGAAAATCAGGATAAAGGGAAAACCAGGGCAGAAAAACAGATCCAGGAAAAAGGTTATTTGGGTAGAGGGCGAGTCAGAAGACACTACCAAGAGATGGGTATCTGGCTCTGATTTTGTCATTATTTGATTTATTGTGATGGGAGAAGTGCCATTAAAAATAAGCCAATGCTAGCATGTACAGGCTTGATGAAAAAATTCAAACTGCCAGGATGGCCGTGCTGGTGAACCAACATAAGTAGCATGTTCCAGGGGAGAGGGCAGAGTAAGGAAGAGAGGTGAAGATACGGTAATAATACCCTGTAGGACTGGCACTGGCCATTGGCAATGACAACAATATCACATCTCGCCTTTTTTCTTCAGAATCCCCACTTCAGACACTCCTACCCGCAGGGTATTTAGGAAGCAAGTAGTGATCAGAGGCTGCCTGGCTTTATGACAGTCATAATAACTCAGTAAGCCTGGGAAGCCATGTTTGCCAGAAATAGTTGGCTTATAAGGAATCTGCTCCATCCCAACTACTACAGCTGTCCAAAATGAGCCACTGAAAATTTGGTAAGAATGGATGAAAAAAAGCTCTGAATAATAGCTAAAACAAGTTCAGCTTCTGTTCACCATTCTTTAACTAGCAGACTAGCAAAGATCAAAGAGTTCAGGAATACACTGCTGACAGGAGAATGAATAAACAGGTACTCATAGGGTCCTTATGTCAGTACTGGGTTTTGAAAACTTTAGCAATACCTATACTTTCTGGAGACTCTAGAAATATATTCTATAGCTATCTGCTCTACAAAGGCTGAAGGGCATTATAGCAGGAACCATCACTAAAACACTTAATCATAAAAGACTAGGCACAATTAAACAGCCCTTGATTTAACTTATGGTTAAAACTGATGGTTTTCTCTGACAACTGGGAAGTTGCCTATGAATTCACATTAGTTGTCCTTCATCATTGGGGGGGGGGAGGCAGAGACTTCTATGACAATTAAAGGAAAGTGTACTCCTATAAAAATGCACACGTATATACACATCTTTGCCTTATGGCACAAAGGGAACAGAGGAGGGTAGGAGTTAATATTCCCCCGAACCCTTTTCAAGGATGTCACATTAATATTATGTAACTTGGTATTTTATGATGAATTATTCAAGGGAGACTGAGGCTTACCAAGGAAAGAGAGCAACCATTAATAGTGGTTCTCAACCTTGGCGTGTACAAAACTCCCCTGAAGAATAGCTCAGGTAATTCTAAACTTAGTGGAGCCAGAGCACACCCTGAGAAACATTGGGATTCTCCCTCCTTCAAGACAATCCACAATAGTGCTCTGCAGAGGGAAGGCACAAATTCTAAGAGCAGGAAGAAGATAAAACATGTTTCCATTTAGTTTTTAACTTACCCTTAAAATTTTTGTTTTGTGTGTATATTATTTTGTAAAGTACACTGGTATAATGGGGCATGCAAATGATTTATCAGAAATATACATCCATTGGGAAGCAGGCTCAACATTTTTTTAAACTGTTCTGTACAACCAAAGCAGCTTGGAGACCACTGCGCTAAATAACCTGAATTCTCCTCACCCTGTTCAGCTGCTTTAAATCCTAAATGGGAAGCTTTTATGCAACTCTCCCCCTCTGCCATATTCAACAGCTGCATCTGACCCCCTATCTTGAGGAGCCCTGGCCAATAGATTCTTCCTCACAATCTTTGATCTCTGTCTTAGCCCTTGGGATAGCTACGGGGAGGTTTCTTATCTATGATATATACATCTTCCAGATACTCTAAGTGGAAAAGGGTATGCTATTTCCCATGGAAATGATGCTATTTAAGATGATTAGCTTTTACACTATTGCTACTAGGATGTATATGGGTGGGTGTGTATGCTTTCATGATTCATCTTATAGACTTTAGTTTTAGAATATTATACCTAGATACCTGTTAGAATTCTAAATAATCAATTTACAAACAAAACAAAATCACTTATGGAATGTAACCTATTAAGACACAAACTGCTTGCATTTGACCTGATTCCAAATGCTGATACTCTTATAAAAACTCTATGATTAAAAGAGTTTGTCTTTAAATGACTTCTATAGGAAACAGGAAGAACTCTAACTTTAATTGTATCTTAAAGAATGGGTAATATTTGGACAGAGAACAGGAAGATGTTCCAATTCTTTGTTTCCATGTAACTTTTTGAGTACATCTATACAGTCAATTCCAAATAAACACTTTGTGAATTATCTTCCTTCTTCCTATTCTTCCTATTCTTCCTTCTTCCAAAAGACTTCTGACTGTCCTACCCACTATCATTAAGAATGTGTTCAGCAAATTCTAATTTGAATAGTCTGAGAAAAACAGTAATGTAATATACAAATAAAACTACTATATAAAATTATATTCTAAAACCCCAAAGTCTTACTTTTATGACATACTTTCTAGGAAAATTTATAAGAAACCATTCTGCCCTAGTCTCAGTTTTCTCTTCTATAAAACAGGGATAATAGTAATTATCTGTCCTAATCATACAAGATTGGTGTGAGTTAAGGGAAATAAACTAGTAAAAGTCAGGGAAGGGTATATAAATGCACGCCATCACTCAAAATGCTTTTCCGTGTTTTGTTTCTCTAATCATCAATAAAGGGCTATGGAGACCTTTGTAGAAATCTAAATTTACGACACGTCAGCGTCCTTAGTCAACAGCTCCACCTAATGGATAAACTTAGGAAAAATCTTTCTATAATTTTGAACAGATTTTGCTTTAAAAAGGCCTGATGTAAAATTAAAACATCAAAGACCAGTATTTCTTTTTCTGCAACATCCTTTGGCAGATTTACTTTTTGGCAGATGGAGGCTTTTTTTGAACCCAGACAAAGACAACTTTTGGAACTTTCTGAAAGAAGTTATACTTCATTTTACACAGTGAAATGCATTAGCTCATTCTTTTTTCTTTACTGTAATCATTTATTAAATAAAATGCCCGGGGTGTTCAGTCTCCAGTTGACAAAATAAGCATACATGTTAACTTCCTTTCCCTCCTACAAGGGCATTGAAATAGAAATTTACAGAAATACAAAAAGAACTTGACTATACAGATGCACTCAAAAATGGGCTCCACCAAATTGAGACCATCAAATGTCCAGTGGGACAAAAGAATGCCAAAATTCTAGAACTCTAAGAGTAAATGAAAAAAGCATTAATGTTGGGGCGCCGCCTATGGCTCAAAAGGGTAGGGTGCCGGTCCTATATGCTGGAGGTGGTGGGTTCAAACCCAGCCCTGGCCAAAACAAACAAACAAACAAACAAAATCATTAATGTTTCCAAAACCTTTTCTTCAAAGGTGTAACACTGGACTTCTCACATAAAATCACAAATACTATTTTCCTTTACTTATGTTACTCACATGAAAAAGTTTTTCTGTCTTTGGGAACACTGCAACAATGTCATAGAGTCGAACCCTTGAAGAAGTTGCTCTCTAGGAATAGAAAAAGAAAGTTATTCAGCAACAAAAAACATACATATGAAATTCTGCTTACTGATGTAGCTACACTTAAATTTCAATCATGTCATACTTCCAATGTGCTACTGACATTTCGGCTTTGCTTTGTTGGCAGAAAAGTCCTTCTAAACACAAAAGCCTATGAAAATTTAGATACAAACAACCATTACCCCAATTCTCCTCCTCCAGTCCTTCCTACATTTGTTGTCTTAACTACATACCACACACTGTGTTTGAGATACAAAAATCAAGTTAGATATGCCTTGATCTTACAGACTAGTGAAGGAGTGTGCCAGGCATTTACTCAGCACTTGCTGTGTGCTGGGCACTGGGGATGCAAAATCATTAAGACATATGTCTGGCTTCTATAGAATGTACCTTTTTTTTCCACACAACAAATACACATGACAAAGTGTGATGTGGTTGATGCAAATATACATGATTAAGTGTGATACAGTAAAGTTCACAACAAGAATACAAATTAAAATGCTAGATATGCAAGAAAATACCTGAGAGTCCCAGGACAGGAGAGAAATATATTGGTTAAAGATAAATAGTTATTTTAAAAAGAAAATCTCAAACCTATATTGTATGAGTTTGTATGAGTTTGAAAGTCCTAGAAAAACATATATTCAAACGTACAATCTCTGAATGACAGGATGTAGTTATTCTTTGCTTGTTGGAACCTTCTACATTTTTAAAGTATTGTATTTTATTTTATTTGAGACAAGAGTCTCTTTTGCCCTTGGTAGAGTGCTATGGCATCACAGATCACAGACACCTCGAACTCTCTGGGCTCAAGCAATCCTCTTGTCTTGGCCTCCTGAGTAGTTGGTTGGGATGATAGGCACTTGCCATGATACCCAGATAGTTTTTCTATTTTTAGTAGAGATGGGGTCTTGCCTGATCTTGCACTCCTGAGCTCAAGGGATCCACTCACCTCAGTCTCCCAGGTGGTAAGGATTACAGGTGTGAGCTACCACACCTAGCCCTACAATCTCTTCTTTTATAAAAAGAAAAGGTATAATAAAAGTTAGAGCAGAGTGTAAGAGAAGCAGTAAGTGCCACACTAAAACATGTCAGGGAGCCTGCCAGGCAGACCTGTGCTGAGACAGGGCAGGTTCCACAGCTTAGAAAAAGCCGGGACTCAGGATTCCCTTCTTTTCCACCTGCCTTCTTCCATGTAGGAAGGAGACAGAAAGGGACCACCAGTACGTTCATGATAACATAAAGGAAAATTTTTACAACTTACCAAAAGATAGCTCCATTTATGTCTACCTACGCCTACAGAACCAGAATGCTGCCTTGCAGTTGTACAAAATTGCCTTTCACAATTTCTTTCACAGTGCTAACTATTAGAAATGGGGGCAGCCTTTCCTTGATTACTCCAGTACTATGATACCAGTGTCCACCTTAGCTAAAGATAAAGCCATTCACCTTCTTGGGGATCTCACCTTCTCTCTCCCTGACTGAATCTTTCCTGAGAGCAGGTATACTCAAACCTGTCTCCTTTATCAAACAAAATCTCCTTATGTAGCAGATTCTCATCTACCAACCACCCTCTGCTTTCTATTCTTCTATGGAGCCAAATTTCTTATATAGTCAATAGCACACAGTTTGCATTTTCTCACAAGCCTACCATATCCATGGTAGCCAATAACTTCTCTGTTGACAAATCCAAAAGATTTTTTTTTAGCCCTTCCCCTACTTGACTGCTCAAGTTTATTAATGCTGTTGACCTTTCCTTCCTCCTTTTCTGTTTTTACTTTCCTGGTTGTCCTCCTATTTCTAGGGTGGTCCTTCCTCAGTCTCCAATCCTAGCTCATCCTCTGTTTCACCAGTAAACAGTACAGTTCCTCAGGACTCTGTCTTAGAACACCTCTTCCCATGCCACACTTCGACCAATCTCATTCATTCCCATGATTTCAATTACTCTCTACAAAGTGGCATCTTTAATTGGGATCACTGTTCTGAGGGCCACACCTTTTTTTCCCAACTGCCCATTTGATAGGCTCCATTGGCATGCTCCCAATAACTCTTCATGTCCCAAACATGACACCCCTCAAACTGCTTCTCTTTGTTATGTCCCACCTTAGGAAACGGTACTATCTACCTCCCTATAGAGGGAGTCACCATCCTACATCCAGTCAATGAACAAATCCCACCAACTTCCCTCCAGGATGTCTCTCAAATACCCTCCTTAATTCCAACCTCATAATCTTATTCCCTTTGTCAAAACCTTGAAGGGCTTTTCCCTGCTCCTGGAACCCTCGCCCAGGCCTACCTCCCTAATTTCATCCCAGGTAGCCAGCTCACGAGGCTTAGCTCTAGCCGTCTTCTTTTACTTCCTAGAATATACTGCTTCCCTTGGCTTCAGGATCTTTGAGTAATTCAACAGTCTCCTTGCGATTTACATCACATTTACTGATTCTTATGTCCTCCAGTAGGTTACATACTCCCAGAGCATCCTTTATCACCTCCCTGCTTTTAAATGGAGACAGGTTAATTTGTAATTTCTTTAATGCTTGTCTTGACAATTTAACTATACACTTTATAAGTTTAAGGATCTTGTCTACATTATTCACAGCAATATCCCCAGTACCCACCTTATGCTCATGTGAGTTCAATGAATAACTGTTGCCAAGGGATTCTTTAAATGTGGTATCACTATACATGTGCTATGAGTAAGTAGACTAGACATGTTATACTGTGTGATTTTGAGGCCACTGAACACAGGCAGGTGTCATAGCTTAGGGGGAAGAGGGGAAATGTAAGAACGGGGCAGGATAAAATTCAACCCTGTTCGACATTAATCAGTACAACTTACGAGGTCAGAAGTAGAAAGGAGAAATAATTAACTTACCAAAACATTGCAGTGTGATGGATCCGAAACAATAATCGTCAATCTAGTTAAAATTTTAATTGGTCTTGATTTTCCCTATATACAAAAACATGCTATCAGAAAAGTATGGAATACAACAGATTGAAAATACACTTTACCAGTGGAAAGTACTCATCAAAAGGTACAAACTGTGAGATAGTAAAGATCAATAAAACCCAGTCCTTGTTCTCTAGGAATTTACAATATAGCCAGAGAAAAGATAATATGCATATTACATTATATAATGAGATCATTTAAAAGTTGTAGGACTTGAGGAAAGATCATCATCAAAGAAGTACTGAATCGATAGTATAATAACAGAATGTTTCATGGAAGAGCTGAGTCATGATGAAAAGGTAAGACTGATAGGCAGAGCAAGGCGAAGCTCACATAACAGAACAGCACACACCATTGGGTATGTTTTCTGTGGATAAACAGAATTATGATGCTTTTTTTTTTTTTGAGACAGAGCCTCAAGCTGTCATCCTGAGTAGAATTTCATGGCGTCACAGCTCACAGCAACCTCCAACTCCTGGGCTTAAGTGATTCTCTTGCCTCAGCCTCCCAAGTAGCTGGATGCTACAGGCACCTGCCACAACGCCTGGCTATTTTTTGGTTGTAGTTGTCATTGTTGTTTGGCAGGCCAGGCCTGGACTCAAACCTACCACCTTTGGTGTACATGGCTGGTGCCCAAACGACTGAGCTACAGGCACCAAGCTGGATTACGATTCTTAAAAAGCAAAACAAAACACCTACCTGTACAACTGGCAATGTTGTGAAAAGTTCAGAAACTGCTACTGGTTTTTCAATTTCCTACAACAAATGATAAATAGTCAGCATAGACTGTATATGTTAATGCTACGAAGCACAATGGGAAACTTACGATGAGTTCTCAGAAAAAAGAAAAACCCATCCACACACACACCCGCTGGCGGTGCCAAAAAAACCCAAAGGACTGCATTTCAGAAAGATGCTAATCTGCAGCTTCCACATTACAAATATAAACACAGATTATAAATTCTTATTATTTCTTAATTAGCTTCAGAAATCTTACTTTACCTGTTTCTTCTCCTTAAAGTCAACGACATGATTGATAGCAACAACAGAATAGCCAACTGAAAAGAAAAATTGAACATTCTTGTTAAAATGTAACAACCTCTCCACATAGGCCCATCCTGATTTCCGATGTCCAAGTGAGTAAGCAGTTTGCAGAGTGGTTATGGGTGCAAGCTCTGCTGTCAGACTGTCTGCTTTCAAATCTAAGCATTACCACTTACAAGTTAACTTAATGTTACGTTTCAGGTTATCTGTTAAATGGTGATAATAACAGCACTTACTTCATATACCTGCCATGAGAATTAAATGAAATAATACACACGAAGGGGTCAGGGCTTTGTTTAACTGTTGTGATTTATTATTAGCATGATACGACAGACCCTGTAATATCTTTTTGTGTCTCTCCTTTCCAATCATTCTCTTGCATATCCCTTTATTCATGTCCATCCCATCAAGTTTATACCTTTTCACGGTTACCTTTAAGCTTGCTCATTTCTTTTGTTTTTTTTACCCTTCTACTTCCTTCAGAGGCCTCTTTCCTAAGGAGAAAGGGAGTAATGACTCCCTCATACCACTACCCACCATCAATAGATTAGGAAGTCTTTGAGGCCAAGGGCTGGCTTTATCATCCTCATCACAGTTAACACTGTTCTGGATATTCAGGTTACAAAACTACAGTCATGACTCCTAGCTTTAAGCTTTTAAGACATCAAAAGGGATGACAGGACATTAATATGAAAAGATATTGCATATTAATCCCAAAATACTGGTGTTCTTTCTCTCTCTCTCTCATCAGTTTGTCCAACTTTCTTCTTTCCTTCCTTCTTTAAATATTTATTAAACATCTATTATTTGAAAGGTCCTATACTAGGTGCTGAACATACAGGGTAAATATAATATTGCAATTCTCACCTTCAAGGACCTAACGGTCTACTGGCAAAATAAACCAATTAAACAAGTCATATAGAACCAATTTTTTTTTGGTAAGTAAAGATTCCTGGAAGCATACAAAAAAATGAAACCTGGTGTGCAGGGTCACAAAAGACTCCTTGGGAATAGTGACCTTTAAAAACAAAAACTATGGAAACATGTCCATACTTTGGACTTCGCCTTTTACCCAGTCAAATAGCCAGCCACACCTCCTTCCCATCGTTCTTTACTACACTTCCAAGACTCTAAACTTTCTTGTTATATATACCTACTTGGACATCCTTTTGGCCACTAAACAATGTCTCTCCTGTCCTTCTGAAATGTCAACTAGACTCTTCCTCCACAAAACTTTTTTCTAGACTACCCTTCATCTAGCCTCTTAAGAGTACTTTCAATCAGTCTTTGGTGTATTTTTACCTATATAGCATATTCCTGAAGCTTATAATAAGTTTCTTATATGCAGACATGTCATAAAATAAGAAATGGGGCTCTGTATTCTTTGAAAATTTTCACTCACCAAACAGCAGTTCTTTGCCTTTTGACTTACAAGTTGAGGTAACTTTCTGTCATATGTTATGAAATTCATTTAATCTTTAATGAAATATAAAACAACTGGCTGACAATGTACATACGTTACACCTTTTTCAAGCACATTTTACATTTGGGGTAAGTCTTTAAAGATATCTTTCTTTCTCTCTATCTGACAGAGTCTGTCTGTCTGTCTGTCTGTCTGTCTATCTATCTATCTGATAGAGTCTTGCTCTGTCAGACGGAGAGGATGCTCTGGATGGAGTGTAGTGGCATGAACACAGCTTGCGGCAATGTCCAACCCCTGAGCTCAATTGATCTTCCTGCCTGAAGCTGCAACTAAAGGTGCCAGCCACCACCACTGGTTAAATTTTCAATTTTTGGTAGAAACGGGGTCTTACTCTTGCTCAGGCTGGTCTCCAAATCCTGACCTCAAGCGATCCTCCTACCTTCTCCTCTCTGAGTGCTAGGATTACAGGCATGAACCACCACACCCAGCACGTATTTATTTTTTTAAAGCTGTTGAGTTTCCAAGAGCATTAAATGAGTAGCTGCATGCACAAGTGCCTGCGGAGTGAGCATGTTTAAGCACAGTAAGTAAACAGAGGAATAAGATATGGGCCCTCTCTAAAGCTCATGATGTGTTAAAAAGGTGATGATATCAGGAGAAGCTTTATTAAGGAGGTAATACTAGCGACGAGCAACATCTGGGAAAATTCATTTTACATGAGCTATGGAAGGAAACTAGCGCTAAATAGATCATATTACCATGTTTAACTTTACTACCTATGCATGAACCTCTTCTTTTTAACCTATTTCTACACTTTGCAGTCTCTGATAGACAGAAACCAGGACTAATTCCAATGATTAAAACAAGGTCTCATCTCTAAGAGCTTTCATTCCCCTTCGATACAAATATGATTAATTTGAATCCCAATAACATCCTAACATTATGGCCATGCTGTCCCCCTCCACCCCCGCCCATTATGTCCCCGCCCCCACCTACACTCTTGCTATAAATAACACTGAACCGGCACTCTCAACCCATGTCAACTCCCTCCTCTGAGCCTCCACAGCACTTCCTGCATTTGTTCAGCCACTGTCTTGACAGTCAGGAAGGGCTGATATTAAAAATGCTGGTTTAGAAAACTGCACTTGGAGTCTAGCTCTGGCTTCTGCTATCCATCAGCCGCGGGGACCCATAAAAATCTCTCGCCCTTGTTGGACCTTAGAATCCTCAATTTTCAGGCAAAAAAAGAGCTGGATGGGAAGCAGCACCCCTTGGGTGTTTGAGTTTCCCGCGCCTACGATCAGAACAACACCGTGGCTGCCACCAGCCTGCAGGGACATCCCAGAGACGCCAGGAGACCTGAACGAGGCCTGGCAGGAAAGTTTCTCCCGAGCGTGGCCCGATCCTATGGGAGGCGGCAAGACTGGTTAGGCGCCGCAGCCCGCGCATCCAGGGCGACTCACGGTGAGCAGCGTTCTCCACGAGTTCGCGTAGAGTCTTGAGGTCCGAACTGGCCCGCAAGTCCAAGTCTGCAAACACCGCCATGCTGCAGATCCGTGACCACCCGCGTGTTCGTCTGCGCAGCCTCCGGGCCCGCCCTCCCAGGCATGCTGGGAGTTGTAGTTTATCTGCACAGCCTCCGGGCCCGCCCTCCCAGGCATGCTGGGAGTTGTAGTTTACCTGCGCAGCCTGTCTCTCCCTCCCGCCGACTATTTACTTCAGGGATTCGCAGGTACTTAACTTACTTGCTTTGCCTTCAAAAAGTTGTTATGAAATCAACAGCTTCACTTCATACCTTGTCTTCTGCTGAATGACAATGTTTGATTCCTCCTGGAGGGATTCCAATCCCCCTATTCTTCCCATAAACGTGGAAAGAGATTCTTTGAAACGCGCCCGCAGTGTCTGTTGACCAGAGACTTCTGCTAAGGACCCGAGACGCTATTTAAAGAGTAGAAAAGTACTTGTTTTTCTTTCTTTCCCTAAAGTCCATTCTGTTGTTTAAAATTAACGAAAAGGGAGTGTGTGTATATGACAGGGAGAGGGAGGGAGAGGGGAGAGGGGAGAGGGGAGAGGGAGAACTGCCCGAGACGAGGGTATTTTTGCCCACTCGGAGCTGGCGGTCAAAACGTGCTGCTCTCGGTTCCAGCCAGGGTCTTCAACCACCAGATGGCAGGGCTCTCTCTAGAATGAGCTCTTAGGCTTAACACTGTTGAGCAAAGGCAGGTTTCAGAAGGGAAGTGCAAAATTTAAATGGCTTTACAGTTTTCCGTGTGAGAAATGTACAAGGGAGTGTATATACCACAGATTTGCTGTTTCATTTGTGTAAATGAGCGATTAAAGATTGACAATTTGAGTCAATTGACAATATAAAATTGGGGAACTATAGTTTACATCAGTGCTCTCAAACTATCAGATGAAGGGCCGTGTTCCCCTTCCTTCTCCTCACCCCCTAGTGCTTCGAGGACCAGCACGTGGTCTCAATGTATTACTAATAAGCAGCCTGCCCTCATGTGATTCATCAATTTGACAACACCTGAACTATCCTATCTATACCTGGCTGAGTAGGAAGAGTCCAACGATAGGAGTTGGATATCAGGAAAATGCCAAAAGATAATCAGGACAATGCCAAAGTGCTGTAAACATTTCTGTACTGCACCTAATCTAGCTGATGATAACACTTTAGAGATAGTCACGGTCTGTAGACCACACCAGAAGTAGTACTCCTTTACACATTTTCCTGTGCGTCTCAGAAAGCTTGGGAACTAGTGGTGGAACTACATGTGGATCAGGGTGGTTTGGTCCAGTTCTTGCCTGGAGTATCTGTCCCCTCCTGAGCAAAGCTAGCAGAGAAGAGAGTCATGGGGGAGGGAGGAAGGAGAGAAGGAGAACTGGAGGGCTGAGAAGGGGAGCAAAGGAAAGAGGAAACAGGGAAGGAAAGGAGAGAAGCAGAAGAGGAAAGTGAGAAGTGAGAAAAGGAGAAAGAAAAGATGAGATAGGGGAAATGAACAAGCAAGAGGGGTGAGAAGTTGGCCTGGAGGGTGACCCAAGACAGCAAGGATCAAAAATTTTGAAAAGACCCTGGAAATTTCTGATCAGAAGATACAATAATGTATGATTATTGAACGTATTTTATATCCATTATCTGATTTAATCCTTAGAACAGCCAATGAGAGAGAGAGATTGCTATTTCTGTTATAGCAAGGAAGAGTCCAGGGCTCAGAGAGGATGGCTGGTGAATCATTTCCTATTCTGTGGGGAGCTTACAAAAAGAGGGTTATTTTTCACATCCAGATCAATCTTTAGGCCCTTCTCAGTTTGCCAGAAGACTTTCTTTTTTGGGTTGTGTGTGGCCTTAGGTTTATGCTTGACTAGTCTTTGGCTTTATCCTCCGTTCACATGAGTCTGAGACATGCTCCACCCAATCTGTTTTCTTCCTGCTTAAGACTGAAGAAGGAGCCAGGCAAGAAAGCCATACTATAACGTGACGTGCATAGATTTATTGGGAGGACTTACCAGCTTCTTCTCTTTCCAACTGAGGGGGAAGTTTGGGACATCATTTTTTTTTTTTTTTTTTTTTTT